AAGCACAAGACTGAACAACACATGCAATATGAATTATCCTAAGAAAGGTCATATTCCATTATCTTACGTTCGAGCGATCGATGACAATAAAACACAAGATTAAACAGCGCATGGCATATGAATTATCCTAACCAAGATCATGTTCAATTATTTTACTCTCTAGCTATAAATCAAAAGCAGAACATGAGATTAAACAGTGCTCGTCATATGAATTATATTAAGAAAGTTCACGTTCATTTATGCTATTATCAGGGAGCCAGTAACAGAGAAACTCATAATTAAAGATTACATGGCTGATGAATTATTTGCAGAAAGGTTCTGTTAAAATAAATCTCGTAATGAAATCAAGAGTTATTTGAGTTTGCAGGAAACATGATGTTCGAGATAATGAATTAGTGAGACAGTGATCAGATTCAAATAATTTATTGACTTGTTCTCGAAAACCAATAACTTACGGCATGATGAAAAGCACATAAAAATGAAATAGGTCCGCTTCCAGTGCTTGAAATATCTTTATTGAATACATTATTCGGTTTGAAATGAAGTGTGGTACTAAATCGTATGATTGACGATAAAATGGATAGTGAATCATCCTAATAATGAATCCATTTAACTATTCTTCTATCTTCTTGTCGGAAAAATCTCATACTTCTCGATGATCAGCCGTCACATCTCAACTGTACAACTTCAAGCAGAATAGTATTCAAGTACTTAATTCATCCTAATATAGAAATTGAATGTATGCTACTCATTAGAGTGTGAATAGTATATGAATGATTTTCATTATCAGTCTGTTCAACTAACTTATTTATTAAAGATTGAGTTTTCAAATTAGATAATAGGATGCGATAAGGCGAGGTAAGTAGTTAAAATCAACAACTGTCTTCTTCAAATATATCGCTCCTTCGAACCAAGCGTTGTCAGCTCGTCTTCTAAGCAGAGACTACTCGTCAAAGCAACCACTTTGACGATGGTTCCAACAACTATGTCGTGCACTACAAAGCGAAATATGTCCGTGGATTGCGTCAGAAAATATCTCTTGACAAACGAATCATTACAATTATGACTTCATTCAAATTAGCGCTCACTTAGTAGCAAAGTTTGTGTCTCGATCACGTCAGCGATAATCTCTTGGCGTGTGAATCATTACAATTATAAGTTTAGTCAAGCATATCACTCACTTCGCAACGAAGTGTGTCACTCGATCACATGAGCAACGATCCCTTGGTAAGTGAATAGTTATAAGCATGATTTTATTCAAGTATATCGTTCATTTCGACGTTAAGTATGTCATTCAATCACATCAGTAGAGATCTATTGACAAATGAATCGTTCTAATTAAAATTTCATTCAAGTATGTCATTCACTTCGAAGCAACGTGTGTCACTACATCACACCAGTAAAGATCTCTTGACAAGTGAATTGTTCTAATTATAATTTTATTAAAGTATATTACTCACTTCGCAGTGAAGCATGCCACCTGATTGCATCAGTAAACTCGTATTGACAAATGAATCGTTCTGATTAAGGTTCCATTCAATAATTTCGCATAATTTGAAGCGAAGTATGTTATACGATCCCATGAGCAAAGATCTTTTGACAAATGAATAGTTATGACCAGAGTTCCATTCAAGTATATCGGTCGCTTCTAAGCAAAATGTGTCACTCCATCACATCAACGAAGATCTATCCATAGATGAATTTGTGTAACCAGGCCTTTGTTCAATTATATCGACAAAAAAAAAGATAAAAGTCAGGTTTAGCTGACTGTTTCAGGAGGCCTAAAAAGTGATCAGTCCGAACAAAGATTTCGCTCAGATATCTCACTCTTAACTGAACTACTAAACATTATACGCATTGATGAAAGATACATGGCGAATGTATCAGTTTTAATATAATTCTGTTCAAATATATCGCTCATTTCGAAGCGGAGTGTTTCACTCGATTATAGCAGTACAACCCCTATTGAAAAAAGAATTGTTCTAACCATAACTTCATTCAAGTATACTATTCGCTTGGTGCTAATGTGTCACTCGATCAAATCAGCAAAGGTCTTTTGACAAATGAATTTTTCTAATTATGGTTTCATTCGAGTACATTACTTACTTCGAGACTAAGTAGTCTTCAGATTAATACATGAGAATGTACATGTTTAATAATTACTTTTAACAAAAATCTAGTACAAATATGGTGTTTACTTTGAAACAAGTTCGCAGAAAATTTGATGGTCAAAGTTGAGAGAGTAAATGAAATATTCTAAGAAGGATTCTATTCAAGTATATCGTTCATTTCAATGCGGAGCGTGTCACTCGATCAACTTGGCAGAGATCTCTTGGCAAATGAATCTCCCTAAGTATAATTTCATTGAAGTATATCGCTCATTTCGAAGCAGAGTGTGCCACTCAATCAACTTGGCAGAGATCTCTTGACAAATGAATCTTCCCAAGTATGATTTCATTGAAGTATATCGCTCGTTTCGAAGCGAATTATGCCATCGATCACATCAGTAAAGATTTACTGGCAAATGATTTATTATAACCAGAACTCAATTTAAGAATATCGCTCACTTCAAAGCGAAGCACATCACTCGACAATATCGCCAAATATCTCACAAAAAATGGCTTGGTATAACTAGGGTTGAATTCAGATATATCGCTTACTTCTAAGCGAAATGTGTCACAAAATCACATCAACGAAGAAATATTAATAAATGAATAGAGCTGAATAATACGTTTCTATTCAAATATCTTTATTGACTTAAATAATTCATTTGAATGAAGAACATGTTCGCTGTATGGGTGCCAACTAAATTATCATCACAATCATTCTATTCAAGTATTGGTTAATATTAAAGAAACATGGTATGGCTGAAAGTGCACTGAACAACATCGTGTAACATGAATAAAATGGATCAATAGTTGGTTCAGATATTCATCGATGCACCGTAAAATATGAATGAAAGATCTTTTGATGGATGATCTCAACATATATGGATACTTTTAAGAAAGCATCGGTTCAACTACATGAATGATTATAAAGAAAACAGCAAGACTATTGTTTAGAATAATTATGACATAACGCATGCACAATCAATACAAAGATTCTATTCGAATATTCCGAATAATTTGAAGTGATCGTTTGATACTGATAGATAAACGGGAGTGCACATTGTACATGATCGTGTGTTTGGCTTGGAGCTGGCCCGAGTGTAGTCGTGGTAGTAGCTAAAAGAATATAATAATTTTTGCTTGAATTTAAAACTTCATATACTGCACAGTATCCTCACAGTAAGCTAACAAAGTGACTTCGGTCTCCTATTGAATTTTATATATAGAAAGCTTAACCGTCGCGATATCTCCTGCTGTGTGCATCTCACTTCTAAATAGTAAATGTACAATCTGAATTCCATTGTTCTAAGATTACAGTTACTCAGGTTTAAAGTTCCAAGAAAACAAGAGAAATGGCGTTATTTGTTTTGATACTTTATTACTGAACTTTTCTACCGTTTTTATCTATCAGTTTGGCTACCTCTCATTTGCAAGCATGAAGAAAACAAATTTTAAGTAAATTAAAATTTTTTAAATTTCATTTGGTTTAAACTTGATACTTTTGTTAATTTTTTGTAAAACAATTAAAATTTATATTTAACTTTTAAAAGTTCGATTACTGCGAACGAATATTGAAAGCGAACTGTTTCAAAAGATTTTTATAAAAATTAATTTTTTTACTACGCATGCTGCAATTTGTAGAGGACGCAAGTTTCTGATAATATAGCACACGCTACAAATTACAGCTCAGTAAGTTGAAATACTGAAACTCAACATCTAGTGAACTCTATAAATTTCAGTAATTACAAGGAAAAAAAGCACTATTGTAGTTTAGCGCACTCTACAAATTGCAGATCGTTAAATTGAAATAATAAAACTCAATCTTTAGCGAACTCTATAAATTTCGACAAGTTAAAAGATACAATTGCAATTTTAATTTGTTTTAAAATTCATATCAGTAAATTTTTTTTGAAATTTGAAAACAGAAAATTTCAAACTTAAGATTATTTTAATTTGAATAAATTAAATTTAGAAAACAGCTGAAATTGAATTTAAGAGATTTTTAATTTCGATTTTATGTTCGCAAATGAGTGGACACGAGCATTTCAGCTTCTACAGACAACAACTATGATGCTAATAGCATCGCCTCGGATGTTCGTAACATTCGCAGGTATCCCCTGAAAAATTGCAGGTAACATGTACAGGTAGCAGTGCAAAAGTTTCAGTGTAGATGTACCAGGATTAAAAATTTTCAGGAGTTATCTTGTTGTAAGTCAGTAGAAACCTGTTAGGATTATCCAAATATAGATTGCTCGCCTATTTTCTGTTGTTATGTGTGGAAAAACGAATATCACATAAAGAAAAATAGCTTTTTATTTCGATTGACGATATTTTATTTACAGTTTGCTAGTCGATTTTACAAACCGTTCGATCGAATCGAACCTTCAGAATTCTATTTGAGCCTTACTAATCTTACAGTAAGATCGCTATAAACTTTTGGACACTAGTTGAAGGCTTATCTACGAAATCAACTTTTTCATAAAAACTAGTGATAACCGCATAAATTCATCAACGTTGTTTAACAATTTTTTCAAAAGAAAGTTGATTTACTCATGAAAAATCTTTCTGTATCATCAGTCCGAAATGTACGCAATATTCTAATGACAAACTAGTGTTCGTTCAAGCAAGATAGCTGCTTGAACTTTGAAAAATTAAAAACCATTGAAAATGGGAGAGAAAAATCGATAAATTGTAACGTCTGCATTTTGTCTCAACTGAGCATGACCACATGAGCTTTATTTCATGACATGGAATTTCTTCGTTATTCGGGATATTTGAAGTGGAACTTTTACTTACTTAGAGAACCTTTTTATATACGAAGTTCAAAAATTTTCAAATATTAAAAATTTTCATTAAATCAGTGCACGAAGCAGTATTTAAGTATTTAGCCTATTACTTACCGGTAGTGGTTGTTGCTGTTGTTGTTGTTGCTGTCGTTTCCGTTGTCGTTGTTGTTGTCGTTTCTGTTGTCGTTGTTGTTGTTGTTGTTATTGTTGTTGTTGTTGTCGTTTCTGTTGTCGTTGTTGTTGTTGTCGTTTCTGTTGTCGTTGTTGTTGTGGTTGCTGTTGTTGCTGTTGTTGTTGTTTCTGTTGTTTCTGTTGTTTCTGTTGTTGTTGTTGTCGTGACTTTACCACCTTAAATACAGAAGAAGATTGTTCTTGTTAGTAAATCAGGATATTTCTTATTGTATAAAATGATAGTCTCACTGAGATTTGACCTGTTAGACAGCCGCGATGCACAAAGATTCGAATATCACTCGCAAGAATGAGCTTTCTTATTTGCTGTGATCGATGAACTAGTTCATGCATCTTCGTTATAGAAAAAGGTTTTGATGTGCTTGTATCAGAATGTTTCTGATCTGATGAAAAAAATCACATAATATATTAAGAATGTACGGGCAAGTGATTTTCTCAGTCAGAACACGAATTGATTTGATTTGTTTGCAAATTCATTCTTTCTTCCGTTCTGTTGTCTTCTTTATCTATTCAAGTATTTAATAATATACTCGTACTGTCATATTGATGCGAAACGCAACGATTTTCCCCCATTCTGTCAAAAAGGTGAGCTTTTCATGGACAAAACTGAAAAATAAAATTCTTCATCGCTACCTAAATGTTTGGATGGTTTGGATGTATTAGATAGTGCGACTCTTTGGTGGTCATTTTTTGGCTTGTCCAAACGTCACGCTGTTCCATTCTTGATAATTCTTAAACAACTATCAGGAAAGATTTGAGAGCTAAAACATTTGTTCAAAAGCCGTTCGTAACAGATTATCATCTTCTACAGGGTGTCCCAAAAATCATGATCATTTAACAAATGCATATAACTCCATTATTAATCAAGCTTTATTTAATAATTTGTTTTTTATTTGAAAGAGAAGACCAAAAAGTTTTTATTCATAAAGAAAAAGTTGATAAATATTGTTCAAAAGTATTACCTTTAACGTCAATAAAAAAATTTAGACGTTTCACAATTTCTGAAAAAATACCGGGTGGGTTATAATGAATGGCTGTGCTTTGCATCCTATATTTTCATCACTTATTTCGTCTTTTTAAAAAAAATCAAATATGCCAAAAGATGCAGCGTGAAAGGCTCTACAATTTGCACAAGATAGTTTTTTCTTACATTTGTACTTTTTTGTTTTCAAAATTGACAAAAGATGGAATTAAGAAAAACGACCTCGTCATGTACCAAGAAACATTTTTTTCGCAGGATCAAAATTTGATCACTAAAAATTTGGTCCATTTTGAAAACAAAAAGTGCAACTATTAAAAAAGTGGTCTTATGCAAATTGTAGAGTTTTTCACATTACATCTTTTGGTATATTTGTTTTTTTTTAATAAGACGAAATAAGTGATGAAAATATAGGATGCAAAGCACAGCCATTCATTATGGTCCACCCGGTATTTTTTCAGAAATTGTGAAACGTCTAAAATTTTGCATTGACGTTAAAGATAATACTTTTGAACAATATTTATCAACTTTTTCTTTATGAATAAAAACTTATTAGTCTCCTCTTTCAAATAATAACAAATTATTAGATAAAGCTTGATTAATAATGGAGTTATATACATTTGTTAAGTGATCATGATTTTTGGGACACCCTATATATATGGTAAACGAGTGGTATTTTTTGGTGAAGTTTTAAACTTCTGGAAAGATTTGTTCGTCGCATAACGTTCTTACATAAAAGGAAACTTTTTTTCCAGTATCGCTGATAAAACTTTAATTTCTTATAGAAAAACCTCTCCAAATGAAATGCTTCTAGAGCCAGTTTTGTAAAGCATCGAACGAGCTTTTAAGTAGTAAGAAAGATTTCCCTAAACTATTTTTGCTCAGATAAAAAATGCAAAATCTATGGTAACGCTATCACACTGTTTTGTTGTCGATGAATTTCGAGGTATTGAACGTGCTCAGAAATATTTTATTTACATAAATATTCTTCTTTCCTTTGCATATAGTCGTTCTACGAAAAAATAAAGTTGCTGAATCAAAACTGAAATTCATTTGCTGCACAATAAATTGGAATCTTTACAAGAATGCGCAAGTTATCTTTAACGGTGAAAATTAAAAATAAATAGGCCGTTTTGAGGAAAATTAAATTATGCAATGAATGGTATGTCACTCAGCACTTTGTGGAGTTTACATATGTTTTCCGAAGAAAGTAGTGAGTGGAAGTTTTAAGTCTGAGTTTTGGCGGTTTCTTCTTCAGCATTACAGACACCTCTCTCCTATTACAGACCTTAGCACCCTAGTTCAAAAAAAAAAGATATGTTCAATAGTCTTGTTTGCTACTTGATTCAATACTTATAATAGTAACAATATTAAACTTAGAAAAGCAAGACGTGCAAAAGAAAAATAACAAGCGAATAGCAAAAAAATCAAACAAAAATAGGACATTCGTAAAAAAAAGATAAAAAAATTCCGTTCAAAGTACATCGATTATCTTGGGTAACGACGATGGTCTACGAGAGATTTCTCACTTTACGTATTTTGTATTAGTTTAGTGAGGCTAAAGAACATATGAGAGTTTTACATTCAGCCCCAAAGACGCTGCGCCAACAAGCTTTTTTTAAAAAATCTGTTGGTTAGTAAATTCAAAATACGTTTTTTTTATGACAGAATGCAATGTTTTTTGAAGGAAAAAACGTCTAATTCATAAACAAAGTAATAATTACATCTAACAATGTATTCAAATCCGCCGATCTCTAAAAATTTCAAACACTTGATCAGTGATGTGTCAAGTTACATAGGCAAACCATTTTACTTTTGCTTATCAATGTTGCCAGTGATTTTGTTGTCGATGTGCCTGTATCTGCTTTCGGAAATTGAAATCAATAAAAAAAAGAAACATCGAGAATGTCCATACAAACTAGAATGACCAGTCTGTCAATATTGGATAAACCATGCCTGGTTTTCGACAACTTTTTAGAGGTATCGTTCAGAGATTGGCTATTTCACGAATTAGCCGAAAAACTGATGGTTTCATTTTTTATTAAAAAAAAGTATTAGTAAGAATCATCTGAAGTGTCTTGTTCGAATAATATCGATATGAAATCAATAGTAGTTTTTGAGATCTTTCAGCAAACAGCTGTAGATTATACGTTTTGCCTTTGTTCATTAAACTATGGGCCGATGGCTTTACAAATTTTAGAAACAACTTTTGCAGGACCAGAAACAATATTTCTCTGTTGAGCTTACTCGCCTTGCGAGAACTATTGCTTCATTTAACCTGCCGCAGAAAAAAATCATGGACATAGTTTGTCTCAAAAAAATAGTCTCATTTGTATGCATTGACTATTTTTTTCGTGTTCTCGAAGCTAATTATTGAAAAAACACAACAAATAAAGTACTCACTTAAAGTCAAACCAAGTGCTACACCAATGGCAGCTGCTAGGAGACCGAGACATAAAATACATGTGCATATTAAACAATCACGAGGGTATGCCATACGTCTTCTGTTTTTATTTCGGCTAAATGTAAAAAGATGGAAATAATGGATTGATATCCATTGAATGGTTATTAATTTTCGTCTTCCCACTCACTTAATTTCTGTCACTGCATCGCTTGCGATATTAACATAAGCCACATTGTTGTCTTTATGAGCTATTTGTGATCGACGAATTGAAAAGCCATTAGTAAAATATGGATCAACACTATATGGACTTTCCATTGTCTGTAAAAGATGTATGCATATTGTTTGAGAATATTTCTAGAAATCCCCCTCGATCGTAAGGTATTTAACTGTTAAAAGAAACAAAGGTGTGAGCGTGGGTATAATGGAAAAGATCATCCATGCTCTCATATCCACGCCCACAGTCCCACCACATCCACGCCCATTTCACGATTTTGCCATGGAAAGCATTCAGACAGCTATATCTGTTGTAAGAAAATATGATCAGGTGCTACAATATTGAAGTGATCACTTCATAGTGCGCTGATATCCCAAAGGATTGAAACCCTGGAAATTCCCAACATTTCCCAGATAAAAAAAAACGATTCGAAAAAAACTCATGGCAATATCTATATTTTGAGTTACGGATCTCTAACCGCCGAGTTGAACCTGTTGATATATTTTATCCTTCCAATTTTCACTGACTTTAGTCAGTTCCTGGATTTTTTTTAATCAGAAAATTCTCAATGGAGGATTCAGCGACTGACTGGACTGCACAGTTTATAAATAGTCTACTGATTGGAATTCTCCTACATATTCGTCAATAGAGGGAAAGAATTATGTTGTTAATGCGTAATTTCTGAAATAATTATGGAATCTTTCAGGGTTTTTTATTAGATCATGATTATCACAAAACTTACTCAAGAGTTAAAAAGGTTTCAGGGGATTCTTTTAAGGTCTTCTCCCTCAAAAATCGATCTCAGTCAAGGAACGTTCAAATGGCATGGAATTTTAAGGATACATTGGAACTTTAATGGAAAAGTTATGGGAAAATTTTCAGCTCGATATCATGACATTTGAGAGAGATATTGGTCAAACAAAGCTCAAAAATAGCGAATTTGGCAACTCAAATTTCTCAGTCCCGGTCCATATGATGTATTTAAATCTTTTTTATTTGAAAGAGCATGTTTGGATGCAGGGCACTATAGAGTTTTTATTTTGAATTCTTACTTTTTAAGCGGAAAGAAGGAATCACAACTTCAGTGACCTAAAAACTTCCTAAAAGTGGTGGCGCTCTATAGAAATGTTTTCTTATATAATTATAAAAAAAGTTTGTTTTAAAAAAGGACTCTGTGATGCCCTGCATCTTGACGTGCTCTTTCTAACAAAAAAAATTTTAAATACATCACATGGATCTGGACTGAAAAATTTGGGTTGCGCGTTCGACATATTATGAACTGAGAAAAAACGAAAAAGATTTTCGCCTTTTTCCGGAAACAGCTTATTTTTCGAATAGAGGTGATGGAAATCTTAAAAAATTTTTGAAAAAAACGAGATGGTGAGTAAAAATTTTTGTCGTTTATGAGAGATCAGATCACAGGTTATCTTCTCATGCATTTATCTCAGTTTCGACGATTTTGACGAAAAGTATCTTTTTATGACAGGGAGGTCTTAGTTAAAAACACTATAAAATGAGAGCTCTTGAATTAGAAGATAAGCAGTCGTACGTCACCGCGCTAGGCGAATTGAGAGAAATTTTTAGTAATTTTCTGGAATGTAAGTTTCGATCACAGAGAATCCTATAGAGGATCAGATTGTGACTGATAGTGGTACAAAACGGATCGACTCAGAACTTTCTATTGATGTGAAAGATGCATTCCAGTAGCGCTTCTTCGATGGCAAAATAATGCCAGAAATATTTTGTAGAATTTCGGAATTATGTTCAAAGAGAATGAAAATTTCTGAACTAAAATGATTCTATAAAATAGAAACTGTATAGTACACATGAACACAAGGGCTTTAAATAGACTGATTAGTTTCGAAAGTGAATTTTCTGAGTATCAATGCAGTGAGACGTTTTCAAAAATCATTTTTGTGCTCTTGGGACTTAAAAAAGCATACACGAGGTATTGCTGGCGAGGTAGTTTGATTGAAATAGTTGCTCAACGGAGACTCGCCAGGCAGGTCAATATTATCAATTGTATGATGCGGCGATCCTATGCGAACACCACTGAAGCGTGTATCATCCAATTCTCTTGTAATTGAGTTCTAAATAACAATCATCGTTTATTTTTATTTTCCACTGTTATCGGCGCCAGAATTCAAGATATTCGGATGGTTTTTGAATAATTTTTGATAGGAACAAGATACAAACCTGAGATTTTCAACGTTTGATAGCCAAGATCCAGCAGCATATTTTCATAAGCAAATTTGTTTTTGATAAGAAATTCGAACGGCGGTTTCTCTGAGGATCTTTGACAAATTAGACTAGATTTCTGAAAACTGTCCTAGTAGTCTATTGATTTCTTTACATAAGTAGATAACCTAGAGTATCTTCTACAAAACTAGATCTAAACGAAAAGTTCTATCTTGCAAGATATAAATAAACCAGGCAATTTTCGCGAAGCCCTAGGACTCCTCTTTCTTTAGATGTGTCACTATTATAAACATCTGAAAGCATAGGTTATTAACTATGCCGAACATCGTAACAATATTTATTTTCTGTTTAGAATTACGTCTTTTTATTGATCACACACGAGCATTATTAATATATAATGTTTTCTTATGTAAAAATGCTATTATGATAATTTATGTACTCTTTTTTCTTGAATCGAATGAAAAATATGAAGAAAAATAATAGTCTACTTAAAAGAAATGGTTCCATCATCAGTTTCATCATCATTTTATGTGTTGTCGTCAATATCGTTGTCACTTTCGATTAGATTATTTTCTAATTCTTCAGCATATTTGTTTGCAGCTTTAAATATTTCTTCATGTTTATAAATATGTGCAAAATAACTAGCAGCATGCCCAGGACCATATGCTGATAACCATTCATCACAAAGTTATTGAAGATCATTCAAAC